GTCCTTTATGTGCTAGTAGAATGTACAGACGGTGTTCCTGCCTCAGAAAATGGTTTGAAATGAAAAGGTGTGGATAAAAGGGCCACAATGATCCACATAACTCCTTTGAATAATTTTACTATAAAATACTACATTCTATCTAGGGCAAAGATTTGAATAGACTTGGGATCGAAGTCTTATCCCCTGTAAAACAGGTTGTAATCTTATCCCCCCAAATCACATATAAAAAGGAGTTTTGCTGCATGTTATCAAAGAGGAAGATTTTATTACTATAAAGGAGTATGTAGTCAATAAATATTAGGTGAGTCTTCAAAGAACGGTCTCATTTATCTGAAACCTAGCCCTGAGACCGGACCACTGGGTCTGAGGTCAAAAAGTAAGGTTCTTGACTTTTTCCTTATTTGTTGTCTTCTAGCTCCAAAAGGTCCCAGGCCTTCCTAGACAATGAATCAGCATACAAATTTTGAATGACTACTATGAGTAGGTGTAACAGGGAAAAGAGAATAACCCAAGGAAGTATTCAATGTGGTGTCCACTCTAGTTGAGGACATGACAGAAAATGTAGAATTAATATAATTAATTAATATATATAATATAATTAATATAATATATAATAATAATATAAATAATAATTAATATAATGATGTCTCAAATCCTATTTTCCTAGGAACTGCCTCACTCTTGTTTGTCAGGTTTCCGTCGATGTCTTCTGCCTCAGCCCATTAATGAATGGATTTGGTGTTCATAGTTGTATCTGTCCAGAGGGTATAGACTCTGGAGCCAGGCAGCTGTTAATCCTGGTTCTGTCTCTTATAGCATTGAAGCTTTGGGCATTTCACTTAACCCTTCCGTGTTTGTTTCCTTGCCTATAAAATGTAAATACTAGTAGTACTTTATAGGGTTGTTGGGAGGTTAAAATATAAAGCATTTAGAATACTACTTGACATAAATGCTTACTGTTGTAACAATAATATCATCATTACTATTAACATAAAAATGTATTTGACCCATGCAAATACACATACATGACAACTTGTTTGTCAAAACAAGTTACATTTTGTCCAATTAATACTGGTTGGGTCCAGTAAGTATAATCATCAAGGCAAACAGGTAGACAGAAAGAGAATCTTCACTTCAGTTTTAGGGAGTCAGACTTAGAGCTGCTATAGGTTCCCTAGAGGGAGGTAAAATTGAATGTGCGTTCTATTTAACACCTACGTTCTACTGTTGTTTCATCTTTTGTTTCTTTGTTCTTTACTATTTTACTATTTGTGGCTCAGTTAAACAGATGCCAATATGGTCAGACTGAGAAGTACAAAATACTGCAACACAATCGGGTAAATGCAACAACAGTAAAATTATAGGGGCAATTTGAACTAAAACTAAAGGTCTGCATTTTTTTAATGTTTTTTATTTATTTCTGGGAGTGAGAGAGAGGCAGTGTGAGCAGCAAAGGCTCAGAGAGAGGGAGACACAGAATCAGAAGCAGGCTTCAGGCTCTGAGCTAGCTGTCAGCACAGAGCCCAACACAGAGCTCGAAGCCACAAACCATGAGATCATGACCTGAGCCAAAATCAGACGCTTAGCCGACTGAGCCACCCAGGTGCCCCTAGAGCTCAAGTCTTAAACTCCGTGTGTTGGACGTGTAAATGAACTTCTTTTTCTGTACCATGGCTTATCATATTGACTAGATCCACAAGATAACTCAGATGAAGAGGTAAATGAGGCCCAAATGCATTCCCTTGATATTTAAGAAAATTAAATTTGGATCACATGTAAACAAATTGACACTTGCTGCACAGAGCTAAATAAATCATCCAATTAATCTAATTCTAATATATACATATATGAAAATTATTTTAAATTATTTTTAATATGTTTTTCAAATCAGGAAGGCATGCCATTTCTTGGGTGAGTAATTATTTACTCCAAATACAGAGTTTATCAACATAAGAAAACAGTGAAGAAAAAGGATGTTGATAATATAGGCAAACCATTGACCAAAATCCATGAATTTATACTAAGATAAATATAACCCAGAACAAGTTTAAAAGCATGTCATATCCTTTTGAGCAAAAGCCCTTAAAGTATGTTGATACTTACAATAGGTGAAATAATATCGTTATACCTATAATCCTATACAGCCTTTAATAAAAGTTAATTTGCAAGGTCAATCATTTTCATTCTTTTATTATAGTTTTTAAAAAAAATTTTAAATCTTCATTTATTTTTGAGAGAGAGAGACAGTGAGCGGGACAGGAACAGAGAGAGAGGGAGAGACAGAATCTGAAGCAGACTCCAGACTCTGAGCTGTCAGCAGAGAGCCCGACGTGGGCTCATGACCGGAGGTCAAGGTCATGACCTGAGCCGAAATCGGACAGTTAACCAACTGAGCCACCCAGGTGCCCCAGTTTTACTACAGGTTTTAGCTTTGCATTCTTAGCATGTAAAAAATAGGAAGCATTTTTCTCTGTAGAAAATGAACTCGTGAGAAAACTCTAGAATATCTTTCACAGCCCCAATTTCAAGTCAATAGATTAAGTGTCCACATTGTTTGCAACTAAGTCACAGCTGTCTAAATTGCTTCAGAAATGTTTAGCAGATTGCTTTATAGCAGGATAACACAGTTTGTACCATGGTTTCTTGAATACATCTTGCTGAGAGTTTATCTCATTCAAATGATGAAGGCAGCTGAAGCATGGTATTTGAATCATCTGCATTTTGCTCTAATAAAGAAGAACTTTAGGAAGCTCTTGTCATGATAGGCAACACACTAAAGCAATTGAAATGTGGATCTTATATTTTACACCATTCAAACTGCTTGCATATGTGTGTGTGGTGATAAGATACTTTAAAAATAAAATTTCATTTGGTGAGAGGCTTACAGTTAAACTGTAAAAGTAATACACACATCATGTGAACTACCAGCATATAAAAATATATATGCAAATGACTATAATACTCTTTTCCAAAATAGCATCTTTAATAGGCAACCCTTCATAAGAATCATTATAAAGTGACATATTTTAAAGCTATCTTTATATTTTATAAGTACTTATAACTAGCAGTTCTTATTTTTAATTAGAAAATACACATGTTTTCAGCCGTGCCTAAATAAACTGAATACCTGAATAAAATGTGAACATGAAAAATGGGAACATATATATATGTTTACTATAAATTAAAAAATTATTATCAATCAAGCAAGTTCTCACTAAGTACTTTCTACCTATAATGAGCTTTACATTTACTAAATGCTGTGGAGATTATACAAGTCTGATATATTATTTTTATCACTCAAGAAGCTTAAAATCTACTTGGGAAACAGAAGAATGAATGTAATTGGGTCCTAAGGCATGCAGTTTATAGATACAACCCCAGTAAACTACAGGTAGTCCATAAATATTGTCAAATGAGTGAATAGATTAGAAAAGCTAAACTTTCTTTAATTCATTTGGAGAATTTCAACTAAATATTTCAGGAAAAAATCTATTAGTGACAAGTTTGGGAAAGGAGCTTATCTAAATATCCAGCTTGGAATGTATGTTCCAATTTCAGTTACCATGTATATCTATTGTTCCCCCTATGTCTAAAACAAACAAACCATTTTATTATGCTCACAAATTTGGTTTGGGAATTTAGACAGGGCATAGCAGGGATTGTTTGTTTCCCTCTATGATGTCTGTGGCCTCAAATAGGATGATTCTAACATCTGGTGACTTGAATGGATAGGGGCTAGAATGGCTGAGAAGGGAAGGTCTGTTACCAAGATAGCTTCTTCACTCACCTGTCTGGTGCCTGGGTTGGGATGGCTTGAAAGCTGGGCTCAGCAGGAACTCTTGAGCATAACACCTACATATGTCCTCACTATGATGGTTTGGCTTCTCAGAGAATAGCAGTTGTGTTCTAAGAAACTTTGCAGGGAATATTCTAAGACAGCAATCATTTAAACATAGGAACACTTGCTCTGAGTGTTAAAAAAAAAAAAAAACTCATGGTCTTTTCTTTTTTTAACTGACACAACAAATATATTTACTCTAGGACCTAGAGAATCTGATATAGATTTGGAGCTTGCATATTCATGTTTGAGAAGTAGAATACTTTGCGGATTGCAAAACTCATTGACTAAAATGGCTATGTGATGGATATTGTGAATTGTCCATCAATGTCCACCTTGCCTCTCTTGTAAATAAGTTGTTTTGGGGACCATGACTAGATAGAAAGCACATTTCTCAGCCTCACTTGAAGCTAGATGTAGTCAAATGAGGATGTTTCCACAATGATACGGGAGCAAAAATGATGTGTACCAATTTTGAGCCTGGGCCTTAAAACATGGGACATTAGATCCCCGTTCTCTCTTTTCCTTTCCTAAAGGTAGATCATGGAGTTCCTTAATCCAGCTTCAACCATGTAGTTGAGAATAATGCCAAAGCAGATAGTACAACAGTAAGACAGAAAGAACCTGGGCCCTTGGATGGCTTTATGTAGCAGAGTCAGTCTGATGACTTGGATTGCTTACCTTGTGCCATCCTCTTGTGTGACAGAATAATAAATCTCTTGGAGGCTCTTCATTACAAAAGTTTAGCTTTACCCTAATTCAGATAGTAGATATACATTATTGAGTAACTGTGGGGTGCTTAAGAAATGACTAGGAAAACTACCTCCCTGTCACCCACCAGGGACTAACCCTTTAAAATGTATAGTATGACCTATGTACAGCTTCTTTGTACTTATTAATTTTTATCACTATTCACAGTTGCAAAAGAGGTTTCCTCTAAAGGAAGCACTAGTAGTAAAACAGTCAGGTTTTACATAAACTTTTTCATGCCTATGTTTGTTTTTGGGTTTTGGTGGGCTTTTTTTTTTTTTTCATTTTGACAAGGACAGCTGAAATGTCTCGGGTGCCACACCAATGTTTCAAACAAAAGCCCAAACCTTGTAATTATTTTGGCATGGTAGTAGATCTTAACCTCTGGACGTACAGAGATCACATTCCCATATTCACATGTAGTGAAACTTTATTAATCCAGAATCATCAGAGGGAGCCCAGCCTTCTAGGTTAGAACAGCAGTTCTCAAAGTGTGGTCACGGGATCTGAAAAATAAAATTTATTTTCACCATACTAAGATGTTACTTGCCTTTTCACTCAGCTCAGAGCCTGGAGCTTGCTTTGATTCTCTCTCTCTCTCTCTCTCTCTCTCTCTTCCCTCCCCCCCCCCTTGCACTCTCTCAAAAATAAATATTTTAAAAATTCTTCAATTTTACCTTCTGGTACAGTGAACATCAGAAGACATAACCCAAAAAAACAAAATCTCTCTGGAGTTCTATCATTTTTTTTAATGTTTATTTTTGAGAGAGAAAGAGAGACAGAGCACAAGCAGCATAGGGGCAGAGAGAGAAGGAGACACAGAATCTGAAGCAGGCTCCAGGATCTGAGATGTCAGCCCAGAGCCCAACATGGGACTCAAACCCACAAACCATGAGATCATGACCTGAGCTGAAGTCAGACACTTAACTGAGCCACCAAGGTGCCCCTGGAGTCTGATACTTTTTAAGAGTATAAATGGATCCTGAGCGTTAACATAAAAAGTTTAACTTCTCAATGATTGTTAAAAGCTTACTTTTTCATTACTTAAAAACTCAAAATGTTACCATTCATCTGGTGATTAGGTACCAAGCTAGGAAAATAGTATTTTCTGCTATCCCTTTCAGGAGAACATGCATATTTGGGGCAGAACTTTCCAATCTTTTTTTTTTCTAATGTTTTATTTTAATTTTGAGAGAGAGAACACACATGTGCACACACAGCAGGGGAAGGGCAGAGAGAGAGAGGGAGACAGAGGATCTAAAGCAGGCTCTGTGCTGATAGCAGAGAGCCCAATGTGGGGAGCAAAACCATAAACCTTGAGGTCATGACCTGAGCTGAGGTCACTTAACGGACTGAACTACCAAGGCACCCCAAACAACCTTATTTGTAATAACAGTTAAAAATCAGAAGAACCTGAGTATAGTCAAACTGTAACAGTCTAGGAAAGAAATAGAATTTGCTTATTAACCTGTTGAGGGTGGAAAAAGAGAGGTAGGCTCAGCTTCAAGGTGAAAGGTGTCACATCCTATAGTGTGACTGGTCTTAAATCTTTGGTCAAAGTTAATAATTCACAAATACTTGATGACAGTTGGTATTGGGTAACTGATCATGGCTTTAGCTTCAGGTTCATATCAATATAGGCATAACCAAGGGACATAAGCAGTGGAGGGAGTGTTGTGGGGGTATGTTATAGGGAGAGAGAAGCAGGCAAGCATGTGTAAATAATCTGTCACAGTCCCAAAAATTGAATTGGGGAAACAGAGGCTTGACTTTAGAGGCTATGAAACAAGCTTTTCTAATTTTCCAAGGGACAGGGGAATTCCTAGCTGTAAAACATACAGAAACACACACAAGCACACAAGGGATACTATTATAGGCCATATAAGACACATGAACGCTTTCTAGTAGCTTTAAGTCTATCAGAAAAACAAGATTGTTTACAAGACTCCATGATGAAATATAAGTGCTCAAATAGATGTATCAGGAAAGTGTTGTGGGAAGGTTCATATCAGGTTTAATATATACTTGTTTATAATTTGTACCTTTACCAGTATCAGGGTCTTTGTGTCAGGGTCTTTGGGGGAGTGATAAATAGACTGGGTAGCGAAGGAATCATTGGAAGAGGAGACAACACAAGTTAAACTACTCTACCTCCTTCTAAGGTGTAGCCAGAGCAGTGATATCACTTTCCACTGATGGTTCTCACCTTGGCTCAATGGCTTATTTAGGGCTGTTTGCTTGAGCACACACACACACACACATTTAAACAAAGAGGGAGACTCATTAGGAGACTCCAGAAAACCCAAGAACAAACAGAGAAGAGTAGCTGGACTTGCCAGAAGACGAGCCAGCAAATGGTAAGACCTCAGAAGCCAATTCAGCTACATTTCTTCCACCACCCTAGGATTACATAATCTCTTACCACTGCTTCTCTTTGCACATCATTAGATCCTCCTGTGTTTTACATTTGTTGGCTTCTCTCCATTTCCAGTGCCATGATCCTATTATAAAGTACTACTATCCTTTTTTGCCTGGAAAACTGAAGTGACCTCCTAATTTTTCTCTCCAAATCCACTCTTGTCCGTTTCTAATATGTTGTTCTCATTACAGCCAGAGAGAGGTTTTTTTTTAATGTAAAATGTATTCAGTGGTTTTCTATTGCTCCTAGGACAAATATCAAAATCTTAAACATGGTATGGAACTGGATTACCCTTCACCCACATCCAGTGCCCTTGGTTATTATGTCCCTCTCTGTCAGAGGATTATATAACCCTGCCCCTTGTTACTCTCAGGAATGGCAAAGGTTTTGCTGATGAAAAGTGAAAGTGAAATGTGAGCACACACTTTAAGAACCAGTGGGGGATTTACCACTTTTCTTTTCCATCTGCCAAGACCATGACAGTGTTCCAGATAGAGACCACTCTGTCAGCCTGAGTTCAGTGTGAAGATGACATGGAGCACAGCCATAGTGACATATAGCATGAGAGATAAATAAACCATATTGCAGATTTTTGAGATTGAGGTTTTTGAAATCATTCAGCATAACCTGCATGGTAGGTTAGCCTTTCAGTGCTTACACAAGTCGCTCTCTCCTGCCTTAGAACTTTACCTATGCTATTCTGTCTCCTTGGAAAGTTCTTTATACCCGTTTTTGCCCAATTAACATTTACTCAGCAGTGAGATGAAAGCTTAAGTGTGAAGTACTGAGGAAAGGACTGTTTGATCTATGTTCAAAGTACCCTGAATTCACATCCTTTGTCATTATGTTTCTTTAACTAATGATAAGTTCCATGAAGACAAAAAACCAGGTATTCCTTAGTAACCATTATATTTACAATGACAGGAAGAAAAGACTTCTTTTATCTTTCCAGATTTTTCTTCATCTTTTAACATGTGACAGAATATGACCATTCTAGGGGAGCCTGGATGGCTCAGTCTGTTGAGTGCCTGACTCTTGATTTGGGCTCAGGTGATGATCCAAGGGTTGTGGGATTAAGCCTTGTGTCAGGCTTTGCACTGAGCATGGAGCCTGCTTAAGATTCTGTTTCTCTGCTCCTCTACCCTGCTCATGCACTCTCTCTTTCTCTAAGAAAAAAACAAAACAGGTAATTCTAGTCCTTGAACCACCACACCTCCCACTCCAGCGCCACCAGTTGATCGGTATTCCAATATTTTATTTCCAAATTCTTGGAGTGAGAATCTTGCTGGCTAAAGTTAAACATGTTTTACTGTGGTCCACCCATAGTTTACTGAAAGATCTAGATCAAGCCGAATCAACATGGCTACAGAGACTTCTTCTCAGGGGATAAGGAAATTCCCAGTCAAGGGGAAAGAAGCTAAACAGACACCCCAAAAGTATCTGTGACAGTCACTACAGCTGACTCTACTCTGACTTTAACCATCTTGTTCTTAAAATTATCTTATCCAGGGGCACCTGGGTGGCTTAGTCGGTTAAGCGTCCGACTTTCGCTTAGGTCATGATCTCACAGTTCGTGGGTTCGAGCCCTGCGTCGGGCTCTGTGCTGACTGCCAGCTCAGAGCCTGGAGCCTGTTTCAGAGTCTGTGTCTCCCTCTCTCTCTGACCCTCCCCGGCTCACGCTGTCTCTCTCTCTCTCTCCTAGAAATGAATAAAACATTAAAAATATTTTTAAAAAATTATCTTATCCATACAAGGAACAATCCCTATGGAGGGTTCCTTAAGGAAGAAAAGCGTGGTGACCAAGTGGTTCTGACTCTCCCTGACTTTTGTCTCTCCTTTAGGAGTCTGAAACTTTGATCCCTTGGAGGTAAGGGGTTACTCTCTCTTCTATCAACACTAACATTGAAAACAAAACCAAAACAAACAAAAAACCCTTCCCTTGATTCTCCATAATGTTGTTGGGATAAGCTAGAATTTTCAAAAACATTTTAATAAAAGTTAAGGAAGAGCAAAAAAAAAAAAAGAAAAGAAAAAATACAAGACAATAAAAACACCATGGCTCACAAAGTAAAGGTTTCTAACTCTCTCCCTGGATATATAGTTCTTATCTCATTTCATTTGGGATCTAAGGGAAAAGAGTAGCCTTATCATCTGAATATCTGTTTGTCACCAACAGAACAAAACTAACAACAACAAAATAAAGTTCAGTTCTACTAGAATTTTTTTTCTGTAACATTTCTTCTCACTTACAAAGGAAAATATAAAATAACATTTTGTATCTAATTATTACTAATTGAAACTGTTTCTATATGTTCAGTCATTTCCATTAAAAAAACAAAGATTTTTAGAGTAATTTCTACCCCCAACATGGGGCTTGGATCCATAACCCTGAGATCAAGAGGTACATGCTCTACCCACTTAGCCACCAGGCACCCTGGACACTTTAACCTCTTAAAGACCTTTCAACATCTATGAAAATTTTTTAAAGGCACCTGCATAGCCAGTGATACAGTCCAGATATTTTTTGGTCTTTAACTTCTTACATGGACATTTGTTAAAAACAATGACAACAGCAAAGCTTTCCTCTTAATTGTTAATATACATTAGAACATATCTTGATCTAACGTACATAGGATTCCTGAAAAACATTTGCAAATAGAGACTAAATACAACTCATCTAAGTCAACATGATGTAAGTTTCCATTAAAACTTTTTCAAGTGTGCTGCATTCTGATAAGTATGTCCCATGCCCTATTACATTTTTTTTCTAAACAGGGACTGTGAGCTGAGTAGTGGTTTTTAGCTTAAATTAAACTAATTTATTGTTTAAACCGTCACATTTTCCAGAGTTTCAAGCAGTTTTGATATTGTCTTGGCCTCCCTTTTGTATGCACTATTTTACCCAGCATACATAATCAGAAATAATTCCTATAAGTTTAAAACCTTTTTGTATTTGTTGCTTACATTTACATGTAACATATAAAATAAAATTACTATCAATACTTTTACAACCCTAGAAATATGTACAGTTTGAAGTCTCTGTTGTAAAAAAAAATTGAGGGTCTATAATGCTTTGCAGTATAAATGAGGATTCTATTTTAAAGTACTTATAGTAGCATGCTGTAGGTGAAAAGAAGCCGAGGACTGGCAATTAGATTTAGGTTCTGGTCTCCATCTCTGCTGCTAAGTAATAATGTTGTCATTCTCCCTATTAGTTAACTAAATTATGGCTTATTTTCATTTACATACATTAAGAGTTAGGCTAGACATTTTAAGTCCTTTCTAGTTCTAAAATTCCAGAGTGCTAAAATTGAACATCCTCTCTCATATTTAAATTTATTTTTAAAAAGAATGTTCACTGACTGTATTTCTTTTTTTTTTTTTTAATTTTATTTCTGAGAGAGAGAGACAGTGTGAGCAGAGGAGAGTCAGACACAGAATCCGAAGCAGGTTCTAGGCTCTGAGCTAGCTGTCAGCACAGAGCCGGATTCAGGGCTTGAACTCACCAATCGTGAGATCATGACCTGAGCTGAAGTCAGATGCTTAACCGACTGAGCCACCCAGGCGCCCCATCACTGACTATATTTCTAAGTCCTTACACAGGTAATTTTTTTTTTTAACAGTAAGCTTCATGCCAGTGCAGACTCCAGTGCTGGACTTGAACTCACACCCCTGAGATCAAGACCTGAGCTGAGATCAAGAGTTTGATGCTTAACTGACTGAGCCAACCAGGTGCCCTATGGGTAATTATTTTTTTTAAGATTTTATTTTTAAGAAATCTCTACACCCAACCTGGGGCTCAAACTTACTACCCTGAGATCGAGTTTCATACTCTATTCACTGAGCCAGCCAGGCACTCTATTTTTAATTCCATCATTAAGCACCAACTATGTTCATATCAGCCATGTTAAATCCATTCAGGAGTAAGGTAATGCAAAAATAAGCAAAATATATCTGCATGCATTTAATGCCACTGAACTGTACATTTAACTCTGTTCAAATGATAAATTTTGTTATGAATATTTTAGCACACTAACATTATGTGCATATATATCTGAATACAGTGCTCCCCTAACATGTTGTGCCTACCATTTAAAACTGTATCATATTTAAACTGAATCATATTTATTTGGACACAAGTCCTTCTCCAAAGGATTTAATCACTCCAGGAACAAGGACTCTCTTAATCTTAGCTGTAACCTCAGGGCCTGTAACACTGGCTCTTAGTTACCAGTGTTTATTATCTCTTGGTTTTTCCAAGTGTTGCTATTGCATATATTTTAGTTATCATTTCAAAGACATGCATTAAACATATAAAAACTTATAAAATTTTAAAATACACACCAGAAAAATTTCTTATCACGTGAGTTGGGAGTTCAGAAACTCATAGCGCTCATTGAACTCGATCTTTAATAAATGTTTGTCAAATTAATGCAGGAGACTTGAGAAGACAAAAAGATAAACACGAGTCCTAGCATTAGCTTAACAGATCTCACATGGACTGTATGAGAAATACATAATATTGTTTCCCGAGAAGTACGTCTACTAAGCGTTTCAAGCAGCCATCTCATTTGATAACCCCTAACACTTTCTCCAAGTAGCTTTTAAGAAAGCCATTGTATTCCAGCCTCAATCTAAAGTTAGGCAGCTGCCTAGAATACCCATTCACTGCTGAAACAAAACAAAAGCTACCTGTTGGAGTCTTTATTGACATTCCCAAATACTACACTGGCATTTTCTTAAATCAAAACGTACACTACTTAGCTATAAATTACTCATAGGTTAGCTTGGATGTTTACTACAATCAAAGTTGGCCTTTTTTCCATTCGCGGGGCTGATCCGTCCCACCTTCTTCAGTTTATATTCAAGAATTAATCAGATCCCGTACTTAGGTGGAGTTCTACAGCCCAAACCATAGTAGTTCAGCGCTTGGGAAAATGCATTTTAAAGGCTGTGCGTTAAGGAGTGCAAAGGATCCCCGAGCGCTTTCATTTCTTGAAAACTACAAACCACACCCCAGTTTAGTCAGCTGTGCACCTTACTGGTCGGAATGGCGCGCTGGGGGTGGGAGAGAGAAAAAGACAAGATTAACAGCTTGGGTGGATAAGGGGCAGGGGAGTAATAAAATTTGAGCCCCGAAACTCTTTGAGTTAGTGTTCCTTTAACGTTAGGCCTAAACCTCGACAAGAGAAAACAAGTGGAGCTGGGGAGGAAAAACTGCGAAAAGCTCCCGAGTTGGAGTGTTCACGGTGGGGCCGTTAAACACAGCAGAAAAGCGGGCGTGGTTTTCCGCCGCTCCTTCCCGCCTCCCAAGAGACGCGAGCCCAGTCCTTTCCCCTCATTTTCACCCCGGCTGGGTCCAATGGCTGCCGCCGCCGCGGAGCCGGGTCGGAAGGCGCCCCGCCCCCCGCGCTGCTCCCGCCCTCGGGGTCCGGTCCGCCCCACCTCCCCCTCGCCACTGGAGGTAGAGGCCGCGCAGTCACGTGTTCTGGCAGCCGCCAAGTGAGGCCGCTTTTGCGACGCAGTGACAGCCAAATGGTGCGACAGGAGGAGCTGCAGCTGCGGCCGCAGCGCCCCGCACGGAAAAGCTTGAGGCGGCTCCTGGCGTCACCCAGAGGGAGCGACTGAACGAACAGACTCCGGCGCGGGCGGGAGGCGGCGGCGGGCGGGCGGCGAGGGGGAGCCCGCTACGAGTGCCCTCGCTCCCCGCCGCGCTCCATGAACCGGGCGAAATAAGCCGCGCCTCCAGAAGGGGCTGCGCCTCCATGAATCCCTAGGCTTTTTTTTTTTTTTTTTCGCTCCCCGCTCCTCACCCCCCACCCCGCGTCCCGTCCCGCCTTCTCCCTTCGCCAGCGGCGGCCGCGGCCAGGTGCGGAGTCCAAAGCGGAGCGCAATGGCGTCCAACCCCGAACGGGGGGAGATTCTGCTCACGGAGTTGCAGGTAAGGGCCGCGGCCCGGGCGGGAGGCGCTGGCGGAGAGAGGGAGAAAGTCTGGCGAGGGGTCGGGGGCCCAGGGACGCCGTGCGGCCGCCGCGCCCCTAGCCCGCTAAGTGCGGAAACTCGGGGATGTCACTCGGGAACCGCTTCCTTCGGGAGCCGGACTCTTTCCCCCCCCCCCCCCCCAGAGCTGTGGCCTGCCACCACTTTAATTTGACTCTGCCTACCAGTGGGACCCCATCTGTATCGGCTGTCTGCAGCCGGAGTCCGCTCCCACCCGGTCCCCGGAGCGGCCAGCTCACCGCCCCCTCCCCGGTGTCAGAGCGGCCCGCGGACGCCCCTGCAGCCCCCTCCCTCCGCCCGGCCAGGCCCCGCCCCGCCTTTCCCTCGTACACCGCTCCTTAAACTCCTTTGAATGACTCCCAAGCTGTTTTCTCGTCCCTCCCCTTCCCCTCGGACTCCGCACAAAGAGCGCCCCCATAACTTCCAGCCCCCAGACAAGTTAAAAAAATAAGACAAAACCCGTGTCTCACCAAATGCTTGCCTAACTTCACTAGCCGTCTTCAGGTGACTGGATTTCTTTACTTTAATATGAAGGCTGCTTTTTTCCTCTTTTCTTTCTCCCCCCCCCTTTCTTTCTTTTTCTTTTTCTTTTTCTTTCTTCTTCTTCTTCTTCTTTTTTTTTTTTTTTTGGAAACCAGATGATAGCTATATGGTCCCCTTGTCTGTTACTCCCTACTCAGATCCGGAAGCTTGGATGCTAATACTTTTCAGACTTTCATTTTCCCTCCCGTTTGAACACCAGAGAAAGAGCTACAAAAGTTGTTTACAAATGGGCAGGCAGTAGGCTAAGGGGAAATGTTGGGCACCACATGTCTGCAGATGAGGACAAAATAGATCCCTTAGTTAAGTCTATGTCGAGTAGCAAGATCATTGTTTTCCATTTACGGCTATTTAATGATGTAGGCACGATATTTGTCCTTAAGTCTATGATGAATGTAAAAGTACGCTACTGTGTTGGGTTTATTTTTTATTACTTTGGAGTGTTCCAGAGACGTTTACATCTGGCTTAAAATTTTTTACTTGTTTTTGACTTAAGATTTATTTTGGTTTGTTTTACTCTAAACGTCTTCTAGGTGTTAGTTAGCTATTCGAATATTGGAGATAGGACCTTTTAAGAGAAGAAAAAGATACTTACATTTCCTTCTGTGCATTGAAAAGCTAATTCTTTTTTCAAAAGATTGAATCTAGGTCCTGAAGGGTTGATTCGTGATGATGCCAAGATTAAGTATTGCATCTGCTTGTAGTTTTTTTTGTTTGTTTGTTTTTTGCTGTTTAAATATATTTTTCAATAGATCCCTTTATAAGCTTGGTTTATTATTAAGTTAAATGTAAGTTTGAAGGCATTGTTATAATATTTGACATTTCCTGAACAGAAGTAGAGATTTCAACAAGGTATACCAATGCAGGGTTGCTAATTTGGAATCCTGTGATTCAGCTTTGAATTTCATGTTTTTGAACATGTTGATATGTAGTATTCCAGTTACTCTTAGCCTTTTATAAGGTGTTACAACATACCGTATTTGCTAAATGAGTGGAATTTATTGTTTTAATTAATTTACATGAGGTTTTAAAATGAAGTTTGTTTGAGGCACGTTGGAAATGCTTTCCACTGCCTAGTCTTGGGATGTGAAAAGCATACTTCGGTTCTGACTGGGAAAAATCCATGAAGATTGGACTGGAACATTTTTCTTTGAATGGAGTTTCTTCAAAATTATAAAGTATTTGGCATCCTTATTTGTATTTTTTAGGAAGTTGTCATCGAAGACACTCATTTTGGCACTGGACCTGAAAATATATTTTCATGTGTTTTAAAATATAACGGGGATTTTTAATGAGATCAATTTTTGACAGAAAGAAGCAAGTCAAAAAGATAAGAAATTTTAAATATGACTATTTAAAAAAATGGGATCAAAGTAGGGGAACACGGAAAGTTAGACTTAAAAAAAAAAAGTCTCTTCCAGAAAAGGAATGGATTTTATATTGTTATCTTATGAATTGACAAGTATATCCAAGGGCATTTTTCTTGATGTATTGGACTCCCAGCTCATTTTTGTTTCTGTTTTCATTTTTAATTTTTTAATGTTTATTTATTTATTTTGAGAGAGAAGGAGCATGAGCACAAGCAGGGGAGGAACAGAGAGACGGGGGGGAGAGAGAACCCCAAGCAGGCCCTGCATAGTCAGTGCAGAGCCCCATGTGGGGATCAAACTCATGAACTGTGAGATCATGACCTGAGCCAAAATCAGGAGTTGTATGCGTCACCAACTGAACCACCCAGGTGCCCTTTGACTCTGAGTTTTTATAAAAGTTACTGCATATGAACTTTATTATGTGTATTAAATTAATTGAGAGCATTATTTATATCAACATCTAAGATAAATAGTGATAAAATTTGCTTCACCAAGTACTGTATATGCATCTGTTTAAATGTTTTACTATTTCATTGGGTGATGGAACTATTAGATAGTAGCCAAATACTTATCAAGTTTGTTTGGAAAAATAGTTTTTAAAAAGCATCTAAGTTGTTTGAAGTTATTTAAATTGAGAAATTAACATGTAGTTCTTAATGTTTCTCCGATATACTGATTTTAAGCATTTAAATAATAATTTATACAGCAGAATTTAAACTGGTGTTTAGTAGTTAAAAACTGTTACTTTGCCACGTTGCCATATCTTATCTCAAGAATACTTGTCTGGAAGTTACATGTTACAGCCTACTTTTAATGAAATTGATACTTAATTTTAGAAACATTGTATATCCAACATTTTAAAATTATTTTTCAAATTATATTGCAGAATTTGAAATACTTTACTACTTGAGTTGGAATTGGGTTATTAATAACCCTTAGTTGTGAAGAAACAAAGAAAACCTGAAACCATAGTGTTTTGCCTTATTGATTACTGTAATATATCTATGGAGTACTGTTTCTAACTTTTGCTAGTAATTTAAGAGGCTTATTCAACAAGGAATCATTAAGGAAGTATGCATAAACTTTGATGGCTAGAGGCCTTCACTGTATAAAGAATATTTACTATCGTAAAAATAAAAAGGCTGTTAAAAATATAAACTTAATTGGCAGTTTCTAATTTTTATCTTGTATGAGTAACTTGGTTTATCCTGTTCTCTTGATTTTTTTAATTTGAAGTGGAAACTTAGATATTTTTTTGTGGGGCCAAAGAAATTAAAAGTTTATTTTTAAGGAAACTGGATTAATGAAAACTATATAAAGAACTCAAAATGAAAATATTGGTTACAACAGTCATTTGATAGACTACAGACACAAATATTGAATCGCATACTGATGAAGTTGCCATGTTGATTATCAGCGATTAATCTTCGTCAAAATGCCTAATAAAGTTTTGGGCCAAAAATCTTAAATTCCATTCTTGCAGAATTTATTTAGGTAAAGGTGACTTGCTCAAGTGGAAGGTTGAAGGAGTTAGCCCTAAACTATAGGGATTCATTTCAAGAAACATATGAGTATCTACCAAATCAATCATATTTTGGAGGATATAAAGATGAGAAGATACAACTTCTACTTTGTAGAAGAGAGTACAATTAACATTTATTGAACATTTATTATATGTCAGGCATTGTGCTTTGTACTCTATATACCTTATTTAATCTTTACTATAATCCAGTAAGGTGGTTGTTGTTATTTCCATTTAACAGATCAGGAAACTGAATGTTTAGGAATGTTAAGTAGATTGTTCATGGTTACAGTATAAATCTAAGTTTAAACTCCAATCTGTGCTGTTTCTCACTGTACCCATTTTCTGAGCTGCCACAATTCTGTGGACCTATAAATATTTTACATTTCAATGTTACGGATGTGTGAATTTTCAATCACTTGACCAAAAATGTAATTAACCAGAGTTAACCTTAATATAAACTTTATACTACTTGTCAGGTTCCTCTATAACAAGGAAAAATGATTTCTGTGTTCTATTGGTAGTTTGTAATTTAGCAGTGCTTTGTGTTGGAAATAAGGTGTAATAGTCTACAGAGACTAACAGTACTAAATAACTTTTTTGCGGGTTTTCATCATTTAACAATTACTGTTTCTGGTGAAAGTTGTTGAATGTTGGCTGAAATCCTTCCAAAAGATTTTGCATTTCTTTGTAGTCTATCCATAAAATAAACTTTGTTTTAAAATTTTAACTCATCTGTAACCAAGCTATGTATTTGGGACTTAGTAGGAATGCAATACATTGATGAGAAGACACCCTCCGTTTGTCACCTATGCTGAGAAATGTCTTTTGATTGTTCTCAGAGAAATTGACTATTGCCCTAAGAAATTATGTAATTTTTTAAAATTTACATTTCTAATCCCTTATCCCAACAATATTCCCTTGAAAAGTTCAGAAGGGATTTTTGCACGTTATACCTATGTACAAATTTTACCCATTTGG